ACTAATTAATCATTAATCACATAATTATGTAAAACTATTTTTATATAATTATGCAGATTAATAAATTTTATAACAATAATAAATTATTTGTTAAAAATTATTCTAACAAATAATCGGTGGTAACTGTAAGCATGGAAAAAATTAAGACGATATATTTCGCAGCGTTCCTGTTCATAAGTGAGTAAAATTGACTTAGAAATATAAGAATATTGGTACTTCCCATTTAATTAACAATCAATATTGATATATCCGATATAATTTGTGAACCATTGATTTGTAGGATCGTGTAAGAAAAGAAATTTCTAACGTGATGCAAAAAAATGATGGAAAGCTTACTATGAAGGCATTACAGAGTATGCCATACTTGGAGATGTGTTTGAAAGAGTCGATGAGAATGTATCCTAGCGTCCATTTTATATCGCGTGAATGTTCCGAAGATGTAAAGTTACGTGAGTAATTAATAGACATCTCTATATATAACATTATTCTTCGGACAGTTCAAGCATGGAACTGCGATGGAATACAAATAGATATGAAACCAACATAGTGTATTTTAATGCTTCCCATAAAATAAACAAGAAAACTTATATAATCATATTTAAATTACTCATCTATATTTATAATAATATATTATAATATTTCGAAAAGTTGTAAATCTTCTCAACTCGCTCAACTTCATTCATTACTCCACGTGTATGGAGAATTTTCATATGTGTACCATAAATTAATTATGAATATGTACATATATATTTATTGTTAAACTTTCTATTGCTGTATATAAAACATACTTTATTATGTTCATTGGTAATTTCAGATCCATATTTGGTGCCAAAAGGCACAACGGTACATCTCCTTATCTATGATCTTCATCATGATGCTAAGATTTGGCCGGAACCGGAGGTATTTAATCCAGAAAGATTCTTACCAGAGAATATAAAGAATCGTCATCCTTATTCCTATTTACCATTCAGCGCGGGACCACGAAATTGCATTGGTAATTTATAAGATATTGGTTTCTATTTCCGGAAATATATTTAATGGAATTACAATGGATAGGTCAACGTTTCGCTCTGTTGGAGTTAAAAGCTCTGGTAGCTCCTCTGGTGTACATGTTCTACTTAGAGCCCATTGATTATTTGAAAGATGTCCCAATGATAGCGCATATTGTACTACGTGCTTCACGTCCGATTCGCATGAAAGTCATTCCAATCAAACGCGTGTAGTCATCTAATATGAATACTGATTGGTAAGAAATAGTCGATCTGAT